ACGCCCTCTGGGGTTGACCACCTCTGCCTGGAGAGCCCCTGAAGGGCCTAAGATGAGCCAGACCTGCGGCAGGAATGGAGCTGGCTCAGGTGGCCAGCGAAGCTGGGGGGAGTGGCTTCCGCACCAGCAGGAAGCAAACCAACACCTCGTCACCCTTGAAGCCTGAATAGGGATGTTCACCAGGCAATGCCAGGAATCCGTCTGAGCTTTAGGGAAGTCTGGTGCTTCCTGGGCTGACTGGGGCTTGAGGGGACGGTCTTTTTTTTTTTTTTTTTTTTTAAGATTTTATTTATTTATTTGAGAGACAGCAAGTGAGCGAACGTGCGATCAGGACTGGGGGGGGGGGCGCAGAGGGAGAGAATCTCAAGCAGACTCCCTGCTGAGCATGGAGCCCAACATGGGGCTTGATCTCACAACCCTGAGACCATAACCTGAGCTGAAACCAAGAGTTGGACACTTAACCGACTGAGGCCCCCAGGTGACCCAAGGGGACAGTCCTTCTGATTCTAGAGGCACTCTGCCATGCCCCACCAGCCACTCTAAGCCGCCTCGCCCAAGCTTCCTGTCCTGCCCTTTTGTTGGTTCACTGAGACCACAAGGACTTGCGTTTTGCTTTTCAAATGCCACCCTTGACTCAGAGTGTTAGGGTCGGGGTGGAGGGAGGGTGGCGGGAGACCTCCGGTGTCCCAGGACTGCTCGCTAAGATCACTCCCCACAGGTCTTAAAGGAAGACCCTAACAATCCAATCACTTGGGATGCTAAGGGTTGCAATAAACCAAAACTCCACCTTGAACTGCCTTGATCTCAAAGGAAATATTTTATTTCCTCCAAGTATAAGACTGGAAATAGGGTAAACTCCAAGAAGACTCTATTAGTTAAAGAAATCCTAGCAGCAAGCAAAAGCAAACTCACAAGTGACTCATGGCTCCAAGTATAATAGAGGTTTATGGCTCATTCCCGTAAAGCCCAAAGCAGGGTTCTGGCTGGCAGGTGTCTCCTCTCCAAAGTATGACTCAGGGACCCAGGCTCCTTCCACCCTGTGGCTAGTCTCCCTTCAGTGTGAGGCTTCCAATGTTTCCATGTTCAACCGCACCAAACTTACAGAGAAGGGAAAGAATCGGATGACGGGCGGGGGTCAGGGGGCTGCTTACTTCCCATCTCCCCTACAAGGACGCATGCAAGTTCCATGAGGGCAGAAATTTAGGAGGCATGTCTACCCCAAGTGTGGGATTCAGCACACTCAGTGAATTGGCTCTTGTTTTTAGACTTATCCTTCATGGTTGCAAGAAGGCTGCCATCGCCCCAAGCATTACATCTTCACATGGCAGCATCCACACCAAGAAGCAAAAAAGGAGACTCTAGCCAAAGGAACTCCTCATATATACCTCTCTCCTCTTGTCAGAGAGGAAAATCTTTCCCAGAAGTTTCCTTGTTCATCTCATAATCCCAAACTGGAACATAGGACTACTCCCTTACATATGACAAAAGGGAGTCTGGCAAAGGGAGTAACAGGATTTTTGAGCCTCTAGCATGGAAGGTGAGCAAGGGTGAAGGAAGTCTAGAATAGGCTTTGCCACACAGCCATACTCAAAACCAGCCCCGCAGTGGGGCACCCTGGAGCCTGCATGATGGAGATGTCCAGGCCGACCTGGGACGGGCGCCAGGCCAGGCCAGGAGTGACACGTGCAGCATGAGGCTCATAGGGAACTAGAGATGGGACGTGTGCCCCAGCCTCCCACAGCCCAGGACAGCACCACCGGCCCAGCCACATGAGGAGTGAGCCGGAAGGTCCCAGAGCCAGCCCGTGAGGTCGGGTTAGAGGTGCTCCCCTCGGCATCAGAAGAAGTGCGAGGGCAGAGATGAAGCAGGTGACTGTGCATAAGAACTGTCCCTCTGGGTCGAACCCTGCATTTCTGCAGTGGCTCTGTCTGAAATCAGCAGCACATGGACCCAGGTACAAGGCTCCTTCCGCCCACCCGCCATATCCCTGTCCTCCCTTCCTCCTGTTTAACTTCCCTCTCTTTGGACCCCGTGATGAGATACAGTACGGTATTCTCCCCCTCGGAAAGGACAGCTCTTTTAACAGTATTACAAAGCACCTTCAATTTGAACTCAACTTGTAACCTCAACTGAAGACTACTTTGCTTTTAGTCACTATTATGTGGAATGTTATTCATTACTTTCTTTTTATTCCCAGCAATGTGTTTTCTGTCAATGTGTATCTTTTGAAACTTTTTTCTTTAACATGAATGAATTTTTCTCTACCACGATATTACAGGAGGAGACAGCACGCATGCTAAACTCCACAGAGTGTCTGACTCCTTGGAAGGGAAAACTAACATGGGGTGGAGTTCATTCTTTCTCCTGGGCCTGTCCGCAGGACCTGCCAAGCCCCGAGTTCCCCACCGCTACTGAGAACCGCCGCCCAGGGCCACAGTGCAGGCTCAGTCTTCATGGTCATCCCAAGCCTTGGGGCTTGTGGCCTGTGCGTGCTCAGGCTCAGGATAGACGGGGGTTTGGTGACTCCGGACCCTCGGCACCAGATGTCACCCCCACTGAAGAGAAGGCCTGCTCTGCCCGAGAGAGCAGGGGCGGCTCCAGCACGCTGAAGAGTCTGGGGCTGGGTGCAGAGGGTGTATTTTCTGAGTGAGTGACCTTAGGGAAGTCACTGATCCCCAGAGAGCCCCGATGAGCCTCAGTGTGATCTCTGCAGAGTCAGGGTCAGCCCCCAGGGCTGAGTGTGGGCTTCAGTCTCTCCTGTCCTTGTGCCTGGCCACCTTGGAAGGGCAGGGCTCTCTCTACATGGGAGTCACGGTTGTTCTTGAGAAGAAGCAGAACTGCCCAACGTGGTCATTGCCCTCAGGACTTTACAGTTTAGGAAGGAAGAAAGGCAAGAAATGCCTCCAGTCCTCGAGGCACTATCCCAATGCTGCCTCCTCCAGGAAGCCTTCCTGGTCCCTCCACCCCTGCTCTGTGCCCTGGGAGCAGGTGGTGAGCAACTTTTGTCACTTTATTCTTGGTGGATCTACAAGCCTCTGTCATGCCTGAGCTCTGCCTCCTTTGTTCCTGAAAGCCCAGAGCCTAATTTCTACTTGAAGACATTCAGAAAATACTAGCTGACTTAATTGAGACACCCAGAGGTGCAGACAGAGGTAATTGCGAAATTAAATCACATCGGTCTCTGCAGCTGCAAGTGGGTCTCGTGAGCATTCCCTCAAAACACAGCTCCTGAAAGAACAGATTTAGAAGGTGAGGTGCACTGAAGGGCCAGGTCATGGCCAAGTGGTCATTTGGAAAGCTGAGTGTCACCATTTCCACATGACAGTGAGAACCTATAATTGACCAGGCCCGCCACCATTTCCAAAGAGCTCCAGGGGATGCGGGGGGTGGGGGAGGGTTAGTAGCTAGAATGTGCAAGAGACTCCTGCAGATTGAGAGGAAAAAGAGAGCAGACCTAATAGAAAATCAGGCAAAAGGAAAGAACAGGCAACGTACAGAGGAAGAAAACAAAGGACCAACAAGTATGTGAAGAGAGGCTGGAACATTCTAGTCATCTGAGAAGTGCTATTTAAAACAAAGACAGCACATTACACATACCGGACTGGCAAAAATTAGAAAGCCGAGTTACACCAGGTGTTGGTGAAGATGCGGGCTGTGGCACCAGCTGGTCAGATGACAGGCCCCATGACACGAACACGCCCTGTGAGGGCACCCGCCGGGGCCCTACAGTATTTTCCCGAAGCCAAGCCTCACTCCACTGTGAGGAGCACCGGTCTTGTGTGTCCCTAAGAAAGGGCAAATTGCCGCCATGAATGACAAAATGCTTTCTTATCACTTGGGATTTTTATACTCATTGAAAGGGCTCTTTTTGATTTGTTTAGACACAGCTCTTTTTAAAAATTATTTTCTGCTCTTAGGCTCACAGAAGAAGAAGAAGATTAGTGAAATAAATGGAGTGGAGTCTTCCTAGCTCCCCCTCCCGCCTGGGCCCTGCAATCACGCACCAGCTTTCGGTGTTGGCGGCACCCGTCCTTCCCAAATCTCGCTGCCTTCACGGCATTAATCAGGGGCGTTTCTCGAAAGAGGGCTTGGCCCCGACATTCTCCCAGGCTACAGTCGCCCTGCACAGGTCGTCCCCGCGCCCGTGCTGAGACGTCCGTGGGGGGCAGGCAGGGGCAACGTGTCACAATGGCCAACAGCAGGCACGGGGGGCCAGCCAACAAGATGTTAGAATAACTAAGAACACGCCTGTCAGGACCCGAGGCATGGTACTTGTGGACTGGGAGCCCATCTGGGGACGACGGGGAGAGTGAGACACAGACGCCGTGGAGGACCACATGCCTAGAAGCATCAGACACGGTGCGCACACGCACCTGCTTATGGAAACCAAAGCAGTAATTCTCATTAAACTTAGGGGAACGGTTGTCTACGTGGAGGGAAGGACAAAGGGAGTGGGGATAAAGTGGAGCAGGTATCTAAATACGTTAGCAATGGGAGCAGGAGCGAAAAGAGAGAGAGGTCTTGAAAACACTGAGAGGTCACATGTTCAGCTCATTTAACCCTCACGGCTCTGACCACTCCCCGGAGGCTCTGAGAAAGTGGGAAGGAGAAAGGGGTCCAGGAGAGGGAAAATTCCCATTTACTGAGCACCTGGGTGCACCAGGCCCTCACTCACTCAACCTCACACCAACCTGCCAAGGCAGGCATGACTGCCCTAGCTTTCCAGATGCTGAAGCTGAGGCTCAGAGAGGGAGCTCTCTTGCCTGGGGACACACAGCTCAGAAGGACCAGGCTGAGACTCCAGAACTTAGGTTTCTCCACAATTTGCCTATTTCCCCAAGTGCCCGTGAAAGGCTCGGGCCAAGAGAGGGAGGCAGAAGAAATTCCAAGCACTTGGAGCTCAAGGCCAAGCCAGCTCTGCACATTGACGAGGAGCGGGGAGGGGTGCACCTGCCGGGGAGGAGGCAAATCCCTTCCCACACCGTGAAACCCTGGGGCTGTCAGATGGCCTCACTCACCCGGGCTAGACAGGAATGGCCACACGGGCAGGCTTGGTGCACAGACCAGCAGGAGCATCTTTGCCGCGTTCATCCTCTGCGTAGGCCTCCAGGCGAGGCTCCGAGCATCTGTACCTGAGCCCTCATCTGTCCTTTCTTCCAGCCTCCCAGTCTAGGGGGAAAGATGGGGCGGAGTAACCACTGGGGCAAAGGTGACTGTCCCAAAGGGAAGCAGGCTGGGAGAACCTCAGACCTCCCTCTGGTTGGAGCTTGTAGGGCAGAGGCAGGAGGATGGAAGTGAGGCTGTGGCAGGCAGGGGCTGTGGTCAAGGCTCTGACAAGGCCCCTGCCCACCACACAGGAACTGCAGCCCATCTCCGCTCCTGGCGTCTCCGGCTCCACTTGCAGCCAGTGAGGTGGTGAGGTCCCAACTGCCGCCATGAAACACCATGGCAGGCAGACAGCTTCACTCGCCCTTGGCATTTCTCTCCTTCCAATGTGCTATCTGCTCCGCCCCAGCAGACTGTAACCTCCACGAGGGCGGGGCTTTGCCTGCCTTATTCTCTGCTGCACCCCCGGTACCCAGAACAGTGCTTGCATACCGCAGACCCCGGTAAAAGCTTTGCTGAACGACTGAAATCAAGAACATCTTACATCCCACGCCAAGGGCTGCGGGGGCTTCCTCCTCGAGGCGCCAGAGTGGCCCCTGGAGGGTCTGAGCGGGCCTGTGACGGGCTCTGGATCTGCAGGGGAGCAGCAACGGGCCGGTTGGGCAATCTTGTGCAAGCCACTTAACCTCAGCTCCCTCGTGCGCAAAATGGGGGTGACGATAGCACCTCCTCTGTAGGGTTTTGTGAGGATGAAAGGAGTTCATGCCTGCGGTGTTTAGAACAGTGCCTGGAACGTAATATATGCTATGTGTTAGCCACGTACCAGTTAGTTTGTGCTGCATCACAAAGCCACCACAACTAGGGACTTAAAGTGGCGGTCATTGATCCAACTCACGATTCCGTCGTTTGGCAGTTTGGGCTGACCTCCACTACAAGGTTCTTCTTCTGGTCTTGGCTGGGCTCACTCTTCCGTGTGCTGGCAGTCAATGACCTCGCTCCCATGCCAGACAGTTAGCTGGATGTAGCCGGGGTGACAGGGGTACCAGGACCGTGTGTCCCCCCCGTCTTCCAGCAGGCCAGCTCAGATCTGTTTGCATTGGCGGCAGTCCCCAAAAGCAAAGAGTGAAAGCAAGCCCCAATGCGCAAGCATGCATCAAGCTTCTGCCTGCATCCTTTTGCTCATACCCTCCTGGCCACAACTTCCCACACGGCCAACCCAACTTCAAGGGGTAGAGAGGTAGACTCCACCTCTTGATGAGAGCACAACAATTTGTGGCCATTTGCGCCATCTACTGCGGCCCTGGTGTTTTTCAGAAATGCTAAAGACATCTCAAGAGAATTCAGAAAGCCTTTGCCAATGGCCGGATGTGATGGAAGACTAGAAGCCCTCCTGGGGTGAGAAAGAGAAACCCAGCCTGCCCCATCCCATCTTCCTGCTTCCAAGCCCTCTATGATAAAAACCAGTCATTTCGAGCAGGAAGTGAGCTGATGCCAGAAATGCCATCTCAAATGGTCCTTGAACTTTTGAGGATGGGGAGGGAGCCCAGGCTTAGGGCAGACGTTCTTCAGGGGGTGGGCAGAACTCTCTCTGACTGAGGCATCCTTCCGAGGGTGGCATTCCCACCCCTCAGCCTCCACATTCCTGGCGCTGATAGCCTAATCTCACTTGCTGTCTTCTCAAACAATAATTTGAAATCAATGAATTCTGCTCAGACGTCCTCCTCCCCCATGATTACTGAGCTCTAGACGTGGGGAAACAGACATTTCTCAACTGAGCCCTCGATCAGTGATTACCATTATTGCATAATTGGGGACATCAGAAGCAAGACTGCCACGAGCTGCCAGGCCCAAGCTCCTGCTCAAATGACACTCTGAGTTCAGCTGCTGGAAGACGGGGAAATGTGGCTAATTGAGACTAAAGACTGTGCTGCATAGCTTTCTAATTTTCCACGGTTAGTTCTTTTTTATTCTGCAGTGGTATCCTTTTGGTAATTGACTTTCAAATACTACTTGTTACATATTGCACTTAAATGGGAGTATTTCTGGCAGGGCTGAGCTGCATGTCAGATCTAGAGGTGGATTTCATCAGAGGAACCAGCTCTGTAGATCTAGGGCACCCCCAACAGTGCCTGCCACACATCAGTGCTCAAGAAACACAAGCCCATGGGACACATTCCCACAAGTATCAGTGTAAAGAAATCATGGTGTCACGTGCTTGTGCACACAGCAACCACACACATGATCACAGAATTCCCACATCTTTTCTCTCATTCTACAAGATCCTCTGGGTTTACAAGGACCATGATAAATGAGGCAACGGGTTCATCAAAGTTGGAGCGGTCATTCAGAAAGTACTTTATTGCACATCTACTACAGGCCAAGCACTGGAAATACAGACGTGAATAAGGCAGCCGTGCCCGCCTTCAGGTGTCCACAGTGTGTGTGTGGGGGGGGGGGTGCGGGGAGAGAAAAAGCAAGCAGATTGTAACAATGCGCTGGGAAAGTCTACCTAATGGAGAGCTACACAAGCGCAAAATGAGGCCGAGGGGACTAACTGTGGGGGTTGAGGAAGAGAAAGTCAAGTTGAGCCTTGAAGGACGTCTAGGAGCCGACCTGGTGGCAAGGGGGTTAAGGCACCCTCGTTAGAGCAGCAAACACGCCTGCTGCAGGGAGCGGGAGGTCCTCCAGGACCGTATGCCAGGGGCATGGCAGAGTGTAGACTGACCACAAGACCCTGGCCTTGACTCAACAGCCATCATTTTTGTGATTGTGGGCTACCTAACTGCTTGGCAAATACATCCCCCTCTGTGCCTGCATGGGACCTTTTATGATGTCCCCTGGGAAGCCACATACTCATTTTATTGGGACTGTCACTGCTCCAACCTCATTTGGATTCTTCTTTTGGAATTGCCACTGGAGCCCATTTGTAAACCATATAATGGCTTTGTTTTCATGGCCATACATTGTTTTTGATTCTCCAGCACCATACTCCTCAGCATGACTGCCCATTCCATTGCTAGATCTGCCTCCAGAGCATCTGAACTATCTTCAAACATCAGATCTGACCCCAAAGGTTGGTGATGGCTTCTGCACTGAGTGTGTTCAAAGAAACCCAGTCTTGTAGAGAAGTTATCCCTCTCTGGGCCGCCCTCGTCACCCCTCCCCAGGGGAAGGAAACCCTGTCTGACCAGTCAGCTCCAGGACACGGGCTGGGCTACTCTGGGCAGGGGACCAGGAGCCTGGAGGCCAAGGACCCTGAGTAACCTTGGGTAGCACCCTGCCCCAACCCCACCATGGACCCTAAGATTTGGAATATAGAAGGCTCCGTTGGGGCGCCTGGGTGGCCCAGGTCATGACAGGTCCTGGGATCGAGTCCCTTGTCGGGCTCCCTGCTCGGTGGGGAGTCTGCTTCTCCCTCTCCCACTGCCCCTCCCCCTGCTCGTGCTCTCACTTGCTTGTTCCCTCTCTCTGGTAAATAAAAACTTTAAAATAAAATAAATGCTCCACTTGTTTTGATAGACAACATACTCATTAAGATACAAACAATGTGGAATGTTTCAAAACTTCTGACGATTTATTAAAAGCCATACCTCGCACACAATGTGAGGAAGGGTAGCAAAGCATTTTCCGTTAAAAATGTCGGCAAAATTCTTCCCAAGGGAGCATGACTCTGAATCCAGAGAGATGACGGGAACCAAGAGCCCATTTCGTAGACCAGCGTGCTAGTCACAGGGTTGTCCTTCAGGGCACCGGGTGCCCGTCTTCATGCACGGGCACCCCACACGCCCGCTGTGGTGGGAGCCCCCAGCACAGATCCATTACCTCAAGGAGGACACGCAGTCCCACAGCTCCCACCCTGGCTCTTGGAATTACATGCCGTGAACTATTGAAAACAAAACCCCGGGCCCGCACAGGGCATCTGAGAGGAGGACTGGCATTTCCGGGCTGGGAATTACAGATGGAGGTGCCCTAGCGGGGTCTGTGGTTTCTGCTCCTGAGTGCGACCAGGGCGGCTGGCTGCCCTGCTTTCCACCGGAGCCAGCAAGCAGTGTGACACCGTCACTCACCAAGAAAAGTTCACTTCCCAAAATACCACACGCGGCAGGTAAATGGAAGAAAGGTCAGAATGATGTAGATGTGCGTGTTATAAACCACCTCGTACATAAAAATTGCCTAATTACTGGGAAGATATGGAAGAGCATACATTACTCTGAGCAGCTAACCCCCAGGGCTGTGCATGAGGGGGAGCACACCTTGGAGCTGTGTAGACCCGCCAGACCTCAGCTTGCTCCAGCTGCATAGAAAACAGCAAAATTCTTTAGCTCCCACCCCCACCACATTATTACATATAAAGTAATCTCTGTAAAAATAGCATGAAAACGTCATTTATATTAGAATCTTTTGTATTCCTTTCATACTTAAATAATGTGACTTATCATTGTTTTTTACTCTGTGTCCTTGAATTTCATTATGAAAATTCAGAAGGTATAACTTTCACCCATTAGGTTTGGAAGCATACATAGTATGTTATTTGAATGAATTAAATTTTGTTGACTTCTGTTTCAGTCAGAGTTTGAAATAAGAGATGGTTGAACATCGTGTCTGCCATCATGTCCTTCTGCATTTCTTGGTATCCAATCTCTCTGTGCCCCAAACTCTGCAAATAGGGGTTTTTATCAATTTTTATTCAAGGATCAAATGCCTTTGGAAGCAATACAATTACGATTCCCTTAAAATAACCGTAATTCATTTACCCCACTAAAAATTAATTTGTTGGGTGTCCCTTATGTTCTAGACATTGGGCATTAAAGATCAAGTCAGCAGACAATTATTGCTCCAGTATTTCTGTAAGCTTTTTAGAAAAAGACAACCTATAGATGTTTAATTATAAAAATAGCTGTTTAACAGAGAGCAAACCGGCGGGATAGCCAAGCCAGGTTGGTGGTATCAGGGAAGGCTTCCTGGAGGAAGTGGAGCTGACTCTTAAAGGATTACTAGGAATTAGTTAAAGGTGAAAGAGCTGAGGAAGGGCTTTTGGAGCAGAGACAGTTCCAGGTGCAAAGACAGGGAGCTGGACAGAGCAGCTCACTGGAAGACCTTAAGAGGCACTGCATCAACACGGACCAGGACGAGCAAGCCCTTGGTTTCAACTTAATTTTTCTGCACAATACACAGAACACCTTCTCGAGTCTTCCTTCTTTTCCCCTCGGTATGACCGTGAACAGTGTCATGAGTCTATACTTTTTTAGACGATAGCCAGTAGGAGAGAGAATCTCTAAGCCAGGGTAACCGATTTCTAGAGAGATGGGTGGGGAGTGAGGGCAGTGAGGCTCTAGGACGTGCTGGTGAAATGCGGGTCCACAGGCCACAGGAAGACTCTGGCCATCACAGAAGGAAATGGTAGAGGCACAGTCAACCTCTAAAAAGGGCTCGATGCTGCACTCCCACCTCCGTCTGCAGGTGCACACGCACGCACGCACGCACACAAACCGAGGTCGTCTGGGAGAACTCTGGGTCATTATTTCGGGTTGATCAGACCAGCAATCGTGATTGTGCGGCCTGGGGGAGAAAACTGAGAAATAAAAGCAGACACTCGGTCAGCAAGGAAGGACTGCAGAGCAGAGACGGAGTGGTCTACATCCCAGGAAATCAGCAGTCACAGCCTCAAGAGTATCCTCAAGACCCCACGTGTCCACACAGGAAAGAAAGTGTCTGTGGCTGTGGAGGGAGCAGACGCCTTTGACCTCCTGAGGCCTTGCAGAAACGCTGCTCCTCTGCAGTGCCCAC